CCGGAGCTCGGGGTCGCGATGATCGATGACGAGGACGGAGACGGCGCGATGTAGCCGCTGGGGAGGAGGAGAAGGAGGCAGGCCGGCGACGTGGTGGTGGCAACGACGGGCGACGGCATCGGGTCGAGGAGGAGCTCGAGGAGGCCGGCGGCGATGCTTCTGGCGAGGGGCGTTCCGAGCGACGGCGATGGGATCCAAGGGCGACGGGGTTGACCGGTGGGCATCAGCGGCGTGTTTCCGGCGACGGCGCGGGTGCAAGGCGTCGGGGGCAGCGGTTGCCACCGACGGGATCCGCGCGGGGGGGAACGGAGAGAGAGGCGGGCGAGATCGAGGGGAGAGGGGGGTTTGCCTCGATCCAGATTGGATCGGGAGGGGGGAAGGTGGCGACGTGGGGGGGAGTGGGAGCGAGTGGGTTAGGGTTTGGTTCGATGGGGGGATAAAGGGAGAGGGATGGACCGGATGGGCCAATCGGGCTGCAGTGGGGTCGGTTGGCCCAGGGGATTAGAGGGTTTTCCCCTCTATCCTTTTGTTAGTTGTGTTTTCTGCCTTTTTTGTATTTTCTTTTCTTTTTATTTAATCTTTCAAATTGTTTTTGTTTTGTAAATCATATAGTTAGCACCAAAATTTGTAATAGTAGTTATACCACTAGCATAATTATGTTTGTAGTTATAAAAATAGGTTTTCAATTATTTAATCATTTAAGAGATGTTTAAATAATCGTTTCAGCTACTGTTTTACTTATCTTAGAACAATTAGTTACTTTATAAAAATATGGTTTCTTCACCAAAATAATGTATGGATTATTTGTCGCAAACGGACATTTTAGTTTTAATGTTTTGAAACTTTTGTTGTTTAACTTGATTTTCAAATTTGAATTTGGATCGGTTTTTGAACTAACCCAAGATCATCTACTGTGACAGAGGTGATGGGGCATCATTAACGGGGTTTACTGTAGCCTAATTATCCAGACGGGGCATCATTAACGGGGTTTATATATATATATATATATATATATATATATATATATATATATATATATATACGGCTGCGCTATTCTGTGCGAGCGCGCATATTTGCTTAGCGTGCGCTCCGGCCAATGCTAATTAGGCGGGACGGTCGCCCGGAGAACCTGCTCCCCGCCGCTAATTTGGTTTAGGGTAACGGTCTTTGCAACAAAAAGTAACGCACTTAATTTTATTACCATGCATGGTTCGATGTATCCTGATTCTACTGGCACTATTTATTGGCGGTAACCGGGAGTAGTAGAGATAGTAATGGATAAAGATTTTTACCATGCAACGAGTAATCCAATGTTAGAGCCCTAATTGTAGTAAAATATTGCTAACATGTAGTAACGAATTACTACGTGCACTGGTAATAAGTAGGCCGAGTAAAACTAGGCCTATATGTAGTAATGGATTACTACATGTCTAGGGTTTGAGCCCTAATCATAGTAAAACCTCGTTAACATGTACTCCCCCGTCTCGTAATGTAAGACGTTTTTCGACACTAGTGTCGAAAAACATCTTACATTACGGGACGGAGGGAGTAGTAACTATTTACTACGCGCATTAATGCACAAAAATGATGAAGTCGACCATAATGAGTAAACCTAGTAAAATAAGGCCTATATGTAGTAATCCATTACTACGTGTGCTCATGGTAATTATAGTGATGATAATACATTACTACTTCCAGCAGGGCCAATTACTTGATGGTAATGGTTGGTCCGGGTTGTAGGCGTGGGAGGGATTGGCTAATCGTAACTCATTACTAAAGGAGGAACCTGGGCCTGGTTAAGCGTGTGGACGACGTGTAAGCCGTTACGGTAGATTTCATGGTAAAATCATTCATCACTATATATTTTAGCAGTATAGTACAAGTAGAAAAAGACTCTATTTCTAGTAACAAGAATCTGTGCCATCTGTCACGTACAATTACTACTATAATTAATCGTTACTACATACAATGCATAACTTTACTATCAACTGGAATCAGATTACTACCCCTAATGCTGGTTTCCACTTTTACGACCAATCAAAGGAAATTTACGTACAAAATAAAACCGCTCAGAGGGTGCTAGCGTGGGAGGAGTTGCTTTTTGCCTCACGCGGCCTGGCCGGAGCGTACGCAATCTAATTCTACGCTCAGGCTTACTTTAGCATACCTATATATATATATATATATATATATATATATATATACCATGCATCGCCCTTTAGCTTTCTTTTGCGATGAATGGCTTTGTATGTTAGCTGGTGAGTTCAGTAATTCTACTAAATGCTTGGCTTCAATAGCCCGCATATTCCATCTAGTGATTCTTTTCATGAATATTTTCTTGAATGGATGACGTGTAGAATTATAATAGGAGATCAACTCTTGAATGAATTGTCGCTTTATTACTTTTTTTCAGTGTCAGCACTTGTTGCTTGTTTTTCACATAATTATGATCTAGCAAAATTTCCCGTTTTGAAATGACGTTTTCTTTCGGATTACATGAAGAATAGAACAAGACGTCTCTTAAAGGTGGATTTTTCTTCTTCTTAGTAATGCTCCAATCCAACACGACACGCCACAGGCGAGTGTCAAAAAATGGAATGCGATGAGACGAGTGGAGTGACGAATGAGACCTCCATCAATGACCATTCGCGGCGCCATAAGTAGAGGCGCTGCTGGCGATGGGCCAAGACTAACCCAAGCCACCGGGAGGGTCTCACCGTGCACGCCGGCCGCTGCCAGCCATGGACACCTTCTTCCTCTCGCACGGCTCGCCGGCGATCTGCATCGACGAGAGGATCCCGGCGCACGGCTTCTTCAAGTCGTGGCTGCCAGCGGCGGTGGCGGGCGCGCAGGCGCCGCACGCCGTCCTGGTGGTGTCGGCTCACTGGGAGACCGACACTCCGGCCGTCAACGTCGTCCGCGGCACTAACGACACCATCCACGACCTGCAGGGCCTCCCCTCCGAGATGTACAAGGTCACCTTAATTCCTCACACCTCTGCTTGTGCCACGAACACGAGTTGACATGTTTGTTCGCGCGCTATGCATATGCAGCTGAGGTACCCTGCGCCGGGCGCGCCGGACCTGGCCATGAGGACCAAGGAGCTCCTGGAGGGCGCCGGGTTCGGGCCGGTGAGCGAGGAGCACGGCCGCGGGCTCGACCACGGCGCCTGGGTGCCGCTGATGCTCGATTCATGCGCGCATGCATCTCTTCTCAACCAACGTACGTACGCTCCGTCCGTGATGGACTCGACGCACGCACCCACGCGCTGGCCGGTCTGGTGGGACCCACCCACGACGCCACGTCCATCGCTTTTCTATCCTTTCTCTCGTCAAGCCAAATCACTCTCCTCTCCTCTCCTCTCGTCAAGGTGAAGCCAAATCACGCGTTCGTCCATCTCTCAATCTCAAGCCTGCCCCCGGCCGTGTGTTAGTCGCCTCGCCGCTGCTCTCCGGCGCCGGGATGAATCAATCGCCGCCGTCGCGATTTCTCCCAACCTCGTCCATGATTTGACGCTCGCCAACAACTTACAGAGCTTAGTCGCGCTCTCGACCGCACGGCCAACCCAACAAGCAGAGCAGGGCAGAGGAACCTTCCGCGCGCGCGTCGTCGTCTTCTCCGCCTCCGGCATGGCTCCGCCGTGGAGCAAAATCCGACTCCTCCTGCTCCAAAAGCCTACTTCCATCCACACGCGGTCCAGTCTCACCCCCCGACCGCCGAATCCACCCCGCCGCGCCTACAGACCTCCCTTCCTCGTCGCCGACCGACCGGCCAACAAAGCCGTCGCCGTCGATTCCCACCGAAAGCAACATCCTTTTCTCCGATTCCAGGCCCACCCACACCTTGGGTCCTCGCTTCCGACTCCAATTTCACCCGAGAGCCGATAAGCACTCTCTCCTCCACCGCCTCCCTCCGCCCCGCCCGAACCCACATTGTTGTACGTCGCTCGCCGTTGTCCATGGTCTGGCCCCGGAGAAGACAGCATAACGACCTCCCAATTAGCTTGAGGCGTCCAGCGGAATGAACGCGCCGGGAGTCGCCGCCGGCGCGCTCCTCTGTTCGCCCCTGCTGTGATTGATGGTGCCGCGTCTCACTGGCAGACGTCTTTCTCCTTTCCGGAGTATACAAGTAGTACGTATTCTGCCAGATCAGACGGTTCACGTAATAACATAGGAGTAGGCCTTTTCTTATTTAACTAAATAAAGTTGCCCGTTGATATACTTGTTAGAACTGATCCAAGACACACGATGGATCTTCCAAGAACCAAGCAATCACACGAGCGCGTCATGGAAAATTTCTGACCGAGGTTCACAGCTACATCTCCGGGCCTAACTACGGACGCTCCTCCCCGTAACACCGCTACAATACCGCACGCCGGCCGCCGGCTCCTCCGTTTACCTGTGCTATTATGTTGACATACATACCGTACGACTCATAATCCAACTATAGCCTTCCTTGTAAAAAGATACTCCCTCCGTCTGAGAATACTTGTCATCAAAATGAATAAAAGAGGATGTATCTAGACGCATTTTAGTTTTATATACACCCCTTTTTATTCATTTTGATGACAAGTATTTTCGGACGGAGGGGTACTCGACACGACTCTAACAATATTCTTCACAAGAACTAAATCATTCTTCTTCTTTTCTGCACGAAAAACTAAATCTTGATTCTTACATTATGGCACATAGGGAGTACCAGAGGCAGGCGTCTCTCCATAGTATAATACACTCTCCTCCCGTCAATGGTAACCGACATATAACCTATACATAAAAAACGTCTTACATTACGGGGCGGAGAGAGTACCTACCACACACACAGACCATCAAAGCAAAAGATGCATGCAAAAGCATCATCGAACCAACTGCCTCCATATAGATTGATCACAGCTGTGTCTTGAACATGGTGGCGTGCCCAAGGCGCTGGACGATGTCGGCCACAGAAGTCGGCACCTTGGCCTGCGTGATGTACATGGTGACAGGGAAGTAGACGGTGAACAGTCAGAAGGCGGCGGCGCCAAGTAGGCCGAGAATGGCGTTGAAGAAGGAAAACATCAGCGACATCACCATGGTGGCGGCAACGAATGCCGTGCGCAGCACCAGCTTGCACATGGTCAACCGCGGCGCGCCCCGGCGGCCCAGCAGCCGCACCACGAGCTCCCTGTGGAAGAAAGTCGCGTCCGGGTACCGGGTCCGGAGCCTCTTCTCGTAGCAGACGAACACGGGCTGCGCGTACACCTGGTAGGCGCCCTTTCTGCCGCCCTTTCCCACGATTTCTACCGCTAATTTCTCCCGCCCTTTCTCCATAAGATTTCCTCCATCTTTTTCCATCAATGTCTCACACCCCTTTTCCCTGCTCATTTCTCCCACCCTTGGTTCCCACTTTTTTTATTTCAAACTATAAGAACATGATACTAAAATCCGATCACATGAAATCATGAGTAATACAATTTAATGTGAGATGGTATGTTAATAACTTTCCCCGACAATGCATATTGGATGTCATCAAACAAAATACAAAAGAGAACACTTCACTCTCTTTCATGAACACGACCATTATATATATAAAACAATATATTCTTTTTTTGCGGGAATAACACAAAATATCCATGCATGCACAAGAAAATATTTGAAATGAGTAAATTGCCTCTACCATCAATGATGCACCGCCTTGATACCCTAACCTACACTAGTGTAGAACCGGCCTTTAGTGCCGGTTCGTGACGGCCTTTAGTGCCGGTTCGCCAACCGGCACTAAAGAGTGGGGACTAAAGCCCCCCCCCCCTTTAGTACCAGTTCGTCACGAACCGGCGCTAAAGTGCAAACACGTGGCACGAGCCAGGCCCGGGTGCGCGTAGGGCTTTAGTTCCGGGTGCGCGTAGTTTTTTTTCCCTTTAATTTTGTGTTTTCAGTTTAATTTAGTGATTGTTTTACATTATAATGACACTAGTAGAAAAAAGGGCTTTTGTCCCGGTTGGTAAGGAACCGGGACTAAAGGGTCGTTACTAATGCCTCTCCCCTTTAGTCCCGGTTCTTACACGAACCGGGACTAAAGGCCGCGGCCATGTGGAGCTCCACCTTTAGTTCCGGTTGGTAACACCAGCCGGGACTAAAGGAAATTTTATGATTTTTTTTTGAATTTTTTTGAATTTTTTTTATTTTCACATTTCTGAATTATTTAACCTCTAATCTCTAATCACCACCCCTCATCACTGCTCAATTTATCCTCTAATCTCTAATCACCCATCATCATTCCAAATCATCTAACTTCCCGAACGGTCACCCATCCTCTCACTCCCCCAGCCTGAGCACGCTTAACTTTCGGGTTCTATTCTCCCTCGTTTCCAAGTCTGCACTTGTTGTTTTCCTGACAATAGTAAGATGTCAATCCTATTAACCCTCAGGAATTTTGCTTGAGCATGAAGTGACACATTTCACTGTTTGAGTTTGAAACTATTATTTTAAAAAACAATAATTATTTAGTAACACTAATATTTCTTAAATAATTAGTTTGACCATTGTTTGACCACAGTTGACCAGATTTGACCAAAATTCAAAATAACTGATATAATTATTTAGTAACACTAATATTCTAGAATAATTAGTTTGACCATTGTTTGACCACAGTTTGACCACAGTTTGAAATCTTTTCGATTTTTTCCACTCTAGATCTTAAAAGCCCCGTAACTTTTTTCTGTTAGGTTTTTGAGGATTTTGAAAATGTTTAACGGGGTTCCCAGAAAACCATTTTAGTCACCCCAAATAAAGCAGAAGCACAGCGTCGCAGGTCCTCGAAGGACGAGGGGTTCCAATTAACATGAAGCCAATGTCGGATGCAACACCAAAGGAATTTAGCCAAAGAACAATGAAAGAAAATATGCTCGATGTTTTCAATGGCCCCACAAAGCACGCATCTATCAGAGCCCGGGCCATTCCTTTTCCGGATTTGATCAGCCGCAGGAAGCTTCCCACGAAAAGCTTGCCACATAAAGATTTAATCTTAGGAGGAATACGGGCCTTCCAAATGTTCTTAAATTTCTACGTGAGAGCACCGGAGATAAGCTTAGCGTAAGCAGTCTTAACCGAAAACTGACCAGAAGAGGTGTGAGGCCAAACGACCGAATCATCTTCATCCGATAGCATGGGGAAGCAAGCAGTAAGACGTTGCCAGTCTTCCAACTCTGCGGGAGAAAGGATCGACGAAAGGCGAGGTCCCAATTATTAACGGAGAGCTCGAAGATATAGATCTCCGGATCAGAGCAGTAAGAGAAAAGAACCGGGAAGGGCACCGCGAGAGTGGACTTCCCGACCCACCAGTCTAACAAAAAATGAGTGGACTTACCATTTCTAACTACAAATTTAATCAAAGACTGAAAGATAGGCCTAACTTTAACAAGATGATGCCAGAACTGGGAGCCACCCGAGGAAGATGCAAACATGGGACTCGAGTCCGGGAAGTATTTGGCCTTGAGGAAGGATAACCAGAGGGGACACTCCTCAAGGGACATGATTTTCCACCACCATTTTACCATGAGGCACTTGTTCATAACCGAAGTATTAATGATCCCTAAGCCCCCCATGCTCTTAGGTCTGCAAATCAGTTTCCATTTGACCAACCTATACTTGCGCTTGTTATAAGAAGAATTCCAGTAAAAAGCACCCCTGTGTTTGTCAAAGCCCGTGTGAATCCCTCCCGACAAGAGGTAAAAGCCCATTAGGAACATTGTGAGAGAAGACAAACAAGCGTTGGTGAGGGCAACCTTGCCCGCTTGGGTGTTGTAACGGCCTCTCCACGGTAAAACCATGTTCCCTACCTTGGTAACTGCCGGAGCGAAATATTTAGCTAGGAGCTTATGGGGGAAAATTGGGAGGCCGGAATATTTGAAAGGGAAGGAACCAAGGGAACAATTTAGGAGATGCGCAACTCTCTGAGCCTCGACATCGGAGACCCCAGTGGTAATGACTTCGCTCTTTGAAAAAATGATTTTAAGATGCGACAGGGCTTCGAAACAGAGGAGCAGGAACTTCAGATGAGAAATAATGGCCTCGTTAAGCTCCACCATGATAATAGTGTCGTCCGCGTATTGAAGATGGGTAATGCCATTGGGGATAAGGTGAGAGCTGACAGGGGAAATGTGACCAGCCATAGCAGCTCGAGACAAGATATGTGAGAGGGCGTTCGCGACAAAGTTGAAGAAGAGGGGGGAGGCCGGGTCACCTTGTCTAAGACCCCTGCCATTAGCAAAAAAGTTACTGATCTGCCCATTGACCTACACCGCCGTGTGACCTCCCGTGACTAGCTGCATAAGACGGTGCACCACCTCACCATCGAAACCCTTAGCAAGGAGAACCTGGCGGAGGAAACGCCAGCTGACCGAATCGTATGCTTTTTCAAAATCTAGCTTGAGAACCACAGCTTTAGTCCCTTGGTCCTCAAATCATGGACAATCTCATGCAAACAGAGCACACCATCCAGAATGTATCTACCCTTTATGAACGCGGACTGAAAAAGACTAATAACACGGTGAGCGATCGGAGATAGCCTAGTAGCCAAACCTTTGGCCGGTAACTTTGCGAAGTTGTTGATCAAGGCAATAGGTCTAAATTGGGTAATCAAGTCAGCCCCTTTGACTTGAGGAATAAGAGTGAGCACATCGTAGTTCAGCCTAGAGATATCAACAGTTCCCAACCAAAAGCCTTGGATAATCGCCTGGACATGGCCCTTTAACTAAGGCCAGAATTTCCTAAAGAAAGGGATGGAGAAGCCGTCGGGCCCCGAGGCCGCGTTAGAATTGGCAGAATGGATTGTCTCAAATATCTCATCTTTAGATAAAGGAACTAGCAATTTCTTGTTCTCACCAAACGAAATCTAGTCGCTGGAGGACCAAAAAGTACTAGCCAATCTAAAGCCCACCTCAGGTTTAGCGGAGAGGAGAGAGGAAAAGAAATGAACTACACGGCTCATAATCTCAGGTTGGTCAGCGACCCTGACACCATTGATAAGAAGGCTATCGATGAGACAACGCTGGCGCCTACCGTTGGCAAGGGCGAAGAAATACGTAGTGGGAGAATCGCATTTTAGAGTCCAATTGATGGTGCCTCTTCGCCTCCAATATTTTTCTTCCAGGTGATGAAGAACTAACAGGGCCTCTTCCAAACCATAACGTATCTGTCACTCTGCGGAAGAAAGTCCTGGACCGTCAGCACGAGCATCAAGGGAGCCAATTTGGGCAGCCAGCCGCACTTTGTCGTGCCTAGACTCCGCATAATGGTTCTTGGACTAGCCACGAAGGAATCTACGAAGAAAGTAGGAGCACTGATGCCAGTCGTCCATCGGGCCAAAGGAACGCCGGTTAGAGGATAAGAAATTAGCGATCTTTTGAGCTACCAGGTCTACAAAACTGAAAGGATCGATATGGTTGACTAGAGGGGGGGTGAATAGGCAACTAACAATTTTTAAGCTTTTCTTTAACAATTTAAACCTTGCGACAAAATAGGTTGTCTAGATATGCAACTACGTGGACAACCTATATGATGCAATGACAACTAGCACACAAGCAAGCAATAGAAACAACACAAGTAAGCTTGCAAAAGTAAAGGCACGAAATAACCAAGAGTGGAGCCGGTGAAGACGAGGATGTGTTACCGAAGTTCCTTCCTTTTAAGGGGAAGTACGTCTCCGTTAGAGCGGTGTGGAGGCACAATGCTCCCCAAGAAGCCACTAGGGCCACCGTAATCTCCTCATGCCCTCACACAATGCGAGATGCCGTGATTCCACTATTGGTGCCCTTGAAGGCGGCGACCGAACCTTTACAAACAAGGTTGGGGCAATCTCCACAACACTTGGAGGCTCCCAACAACACCACGAAGCTTCACCACAATGGAGTATGGCTTCGAGGTGACCTCAACCATCTAGGGTGCTCAAACACCCAAGAGTAACAAGATCCGCTAGGGATAAGTGGGGGGGGGGGAATCGAACATCTCTTGGTGGAAGTGTAGATCGGGCCCTTGTCACCCAATCCCGAGCAAATCAACAAGTTTGATTGGATAGGGAGAGAGATCGGGCCAAAATGGAGCTTGGAGCAATAATGAAGCTTGGAGGTGGAAGAGGTAATCAACTAGAGGTAGGAGACGCCCCTTTTATAATCATGGAAAAGATCCAACCGTTATCCACATGTTTAGCCTACAACATGCGGTACTACCGCTCCAGAAGCGAGGTAATACCGCAAGGCCACACGGTACTACCGTGGAGGACCACGGTACTTCCGCGGCAGCAGCAGAGGCTGGGACGTGCCTGACTGAGTGCAGTACTACCGCTTGCACGGTACTACCGCTCCCCCTTGCGGTACTATCGCAAGGCA